TCTTCTGTGAATTTTCCATCATCATCCACAGGAGATATTAAGGGGAGCCCATACTTCATACCAGTCACATAATCCTCCTGGCCATGCCCAGGAGCCGTATGGACCAATCCAGTTCCTGTCTCAGTTGTAATGTAATCTCCTCCAATGACAACTTGGCATTCCCTCTTATCAATTGGGTGGATATATCTGAAGAAAACAATAGATTTGATGCTTAGCCCACAGCCTTCACATCAAATTACAAAGGTAAATTATTAAGAGATAGGGTTGGCAAAACCACAAACAAAACTGTTTGCCGCATTTCTAAATTTCTTCTAATTGCATCTGAAACCTACAAGTCTTTTTAGGGAGAAAATTTACTTGATAAGAAGTAAAATTCTCAGTTTTAGTGTTCCTTCTCATTGTTTATGGAAAGAAACAAAACCTGCAGTTTTCAAGTTCTGAACCCAACAATTTCTTCTTGACAACGAGCTTCATGCCCCATTTTGCTTCCAATGTTGGAACCAGATCTGATGCTACGACAAGGAAAGGCTTTTTTTCCTCCTTCAGGATATTTCCAGGCCTCTGCTTTTTATTTCCAGACGATAAAGAGACATCTTCTGATGGTGCCCGCAATTCTACTATGGCATACTGAAGCTTGGCATTGACAGCAACCGCTAATCACAGAACAGCATGGGGGAAAGTTAAAATAAATATCAAGGACCTGCAACATGTAAGAGTCAACCATATAGCTTGGAGATTTTTATAAACATGAAAAAAGGATATAATTTGCTTGGAATTCGGACAAGAAATATTCAAGAGTATTTTTTACTCAAATGGATCATAATCTTTAAACATTTCTTCCTTATTTTTTTTTGTAGGCAAACCAACTGTTCCGCTATCTTTTTCGGTAAACCTTTTACCATTTTCTAGATGCATCATATTTAGCATCAGAAATAATAATAATAATCTCACTTGAAAACATACGGAAAGAAGTCTTCTATCACATTGCTGCCACTGCAACACAGACAAAAACTCACCAGCGTTGGCTGGAATAGTCCAGGGAGTTGTAGTCCATATGGCCAAGCACAAGTCTGGAAGAAATTCTTGTAACAAGCCGCATGAAGGTGGACCTTCCTTAACCAATCTAAAAATAGCATATATGCTTCTTGAAGTATGCCCCTCAGGATACTGAGTGCAATTATCAAACAGGTAGAACAGGAAAAGGAAGATACTGTTAAATTTGACCAAATGATAGGAAGCAGCATGAGATATAGATTAGAGTGCAAATTTTACTATGGAAAATGATTATCAGTATGATTTAAAGTTTTAACACCATATAGAGACCAGAATGATAGTTTTCTTTTACAAAATAATGCTTTAATGAATAATAAAAAAAGGATTATTAGGCCCTTTAGACACTATATACAGTATAGACCGGCTAGATGGGGAGGGGGAAAAAAGAAAAGAAACAGCCAATCTAAGCTGTAAATACAATAATTTCCACTCTCCACAAGACAGTAAAATCAATGAACTTTATCTAATTTGTTCTCAATTTCATGCTTGAACAGTTTATTTACCTCCAATTCAGCCTCTGCAAGAGCAGTTCTTGATGAGGGACTCCAGTGAACTGGCTTTCTCCCTCGAAAGATATATCCTTGGATGGCCATCTGACCAAACACCTCAATCTAACATATAAACAATACAAAAACAGAACTATTGAATACAATTCTGCAACTACAAAGTGCTTAAAAGAAACACAAAGAAAGAAGAACATTAGAATGGTAGCAATAGTTACCTGGGCAGCTTCATATTCCGGACTGAGAGTTAGATATGGATTGTTCCAATCTGCCCACACTCCATAGCGCTGCAAAAATTGAACTGTTACTTGAAGAAATTTTAAGGAGGAGAATCCAGATCATTTTACTATGAAGTGTAACTCCCACGACATACTAAATCCAGCACTCATAAAGCATCAAAGATGAACATGCCTACATAGATGGTAGACATGATGTTGACATTAACTGAAATTATCCTTTACTGATTACTCACTTAAACATGAAGCTCGAAATATTGAGTATTGAAATAATAAAGTTAAAGTGATGAGGAAATTGCCTTAAATGATATCATCTGAGCTTTCACCGTAGCTTTAGCAAACTTGGCAGCCTTATCTCTCAACTTAATTGGGGTAAGGTCCTTCCTGGCTTCTTTATCCAATGACTGCAGAACTGAATAACTCAAGATTACAGTTAAGTTTCTTTACCTTTGTTCCAAAAGACCTAAGACGTTGCTCCATCAGTAAAAGCTCATCATGGGGCCTAACTAATGAAAAAGATACTTGCCTTTTAACTCAATTGGTAGGCCATGGCAGTCCCAACCAGGCACAAAACGAACTTTATAGTTTTGAAGAAGCTATTAAGAGAAGAAAATAAAAGAAAAAATAAATACTAGTTAGAAAGTTTTTAAATGGAAAGCAAGAAGTTTGTCCTTAAGACTAAGTATCTATTACGAGAAAGGAATCGTGAGTTCAAATTTGATGCAAAAATTCTATCTGTATATAAGCTCAACAACCACAACCGAATCTCAATTGAACTTTGGTAAGAGGTACCGAAGCTATTTACCAGCTTTCCTTTTTCCTGGTGTGTTGTCTGATTTAACAAAGGAAGTCTAAGAAGAAGAAACTAACCTTATAACGGTTTATTATATCCTTCAAAATCTTATTCAAAGCATGGCCCATGTGAAGATCTCCATTGGCATATGGTGGACCATCATGAAGAATGAAATTTTCCTGAGACCAGATATCAGCAAATAAGTTCTTGTGAATGAGGGACAAAGAAGGAAAGATATCCCAAGAAGACTGAGGAACGTACTCCAGTGTTTCTTTCAACGACTCGATTGAACACTTGATGGTCATCCCATATTTTCTGAATTTCAGGCTCCCTAACTGAAGAATTTGCTCTCATGCCAAATGTAGTCTTCGGCAGATCAACGGTATGCTTGTATTTTCCATCTCCTTCAATTGTCTCTAAACAAACTCAAGCAATCCAAGCAATCAGAAACTTTATTAAAAAAACGCAAAAGCTCATTCAAGAAGTCATGTAACTCATTGAATCACAAAACTTAGGTTTCAGGGAAATGTACTACAAATTTGCAAATGTTATGCACCTTTAGATGCTTTCCTAGCAGCCATAACGGGCCCTCTAGATCTTCTCTTCGAGGAAAATGGGAACTCATCGTTTAAATAAGTAGAATAATGTGTCACGCGCAAGAAAGAAAATAGTTTTGCTGAAGAACTCCCTCTAAAACTAAATGAGGAAATAGAACTTCTCCTAAGAGATGCGGAAATTCTTTGCGATAGTACCTGGAAATATGAAATATGAGTACATTAATATAAAGCACCTGTAATTCACATTTAGAATAACAGTCATAGAGGATTTATTCGATGAGGGTAACCACCATTTTCCATAATCAGCAACAGAAAGTACCTCCAAAAAAAAAAAAATTTGTTTTTTCTTTCCAACCAAAAAGAAAAAAACCTATAAAAAAGGAATAAGCTAAACAATTAAAAAAACACCCTCAAGTTCTTTTACTAGATTTTAGTGAGCAATTACCGAGACACAGAAACGAGTACGCAGAATCAAATATCATTTTACTGTACCAGAATTGAATCGTCATGCACATTTTACTGTGAGCAATAATTCAAACACAATAAAACATGTCCGACCATTTCCAGTACAAACGCACTCTCTGAACTCATGAAGCAGCGGATGAAGTACTCAAACAACACTAAAAGACCCTCTTCCGCCAGACGGAAACAAGAAAGGAAAACAAAGGCATAGAAATAAGGAGAGAATCGTTCATGAATTCTCGAAGAGTATACTGCTTCGTAATTCAAATTGACTGGTGCAGACAGAGAGATGAAAGAGAGGAAGAAGAGAAATAGTACTCTATAAGGAGACGAGCAAATCAACGATTTTGTGGCTTCTTTGCACTTGAATGCAGAAGAGCTTGTGGCAGACGAAGCGTACTGCGGCATGGTGGCCTCCATTCATTTGCAGAGCTTCTTCATCCTCGGAGCGATAGGAAGTCTGAGAGCGGAAACAAATGTTGGCTTTTTTTGTAAAAACGGCGCATGAATTGTTTCTTTGGAAAAATGTGATAGCAACCAGCAGTATTTTGAAAAATAGCACGTAATAATTTTGCTTATCGATTTTTTAAATCTGACATTTTCAGACCACCCTTGGCTTAATTTTATTTTAAACTCATTTTAGTCAAATGCCTATTTTTTTTCCTCCTAATTATAATATCTTAAGAGATTCGAATTCATGATATTTTGATCGAAAATAAAGATAACGTTTGTAACCAGTTGAGTTTTGTTTAAGTTGACAATCATATACTTTGTTTTTATTTATGAACTCCAAAATTTTATTTTAAGAGATTTTACGATAATAACATATTTAGTATGTTAGGCGGCATGAAATGACATACCACGTATCAAAAAAAGAGAAGTTATTGATAGCCGAGGTATGATACATCATGATAGTTGATCCAACGTATATCTTCTTGTTAACGTTCGACCTAAGTAAAGGTTGGGAATGGAGATAACGAAACCACTCTTCAACCTCCCTTTAATTTCCAATCCACCACGACTTATAATTCAACATGCGAAGTGGTCGATGAGTGGGACGTACCCAGCCTACGTACACTCATAATTACATAAGTAGACGTCATATGCATGTACATGCAAATTTGATTGCTCGACTTCAGATACATATTTGGGATTGTGACTGACTTGAGCATAAAGTATTTACTGATTTTGATAAAAACATAGTCTAAATAATAACATATTTGTCACGTGATAAAATATTTTGAAAAAATAGCACAAATATAAGAACACATATGTAGTCTTCTTTTTCTTTATAGATCGAGGCAGGGGTAAAGTAGAAAATGGAGTTGGGATTCGCGCATCCGTTAGCATGCAGGACATCAAATTTTAGGTAAATGTACACCATGGATTCCAATTCATTCTTTTTAAATTATTTTTTTAATTTTCTCAACTTTAGACCAATAGGCTAACTCATGATGGTTATCGTTGTAACAATACATCCATCAAATATATTACTATATTAACAATTGACAACCTCTTAAAAGAAAATTTTTCTTTTGTGTTCTCGACAACAAAGTTATCCCAAAGCATGTGACTTCAGCATAGACATTGTTAACCAACTTACATTGTTGGCTTTGCAAAGACGGAAAATCGTAACATCATAGATGGAGAATTGTAACATCATCAGGTCAAGTGACATTAGCAACTTAATGTCTAACCAACTTACATTGTTGGCTTTGCAAAGACGGAAAATCGTAACATCATAGATGGAGAATTGTAACATCATCAGGTCAAGTGACATTAGCAACTTAAATGTAACTCGACTCGTTAAGGCATAAATCTCCGATCTCTGGAATCTAACACTATACGTAGTAAACAGAAAAGGAAAAAGAAAAAAGTAAATGGTAAAGTGGCAATGGAGATGTGCATTTGGAGACTAGGATAGCTTATTCGGTGACAATTGACATGTTGAGGTAAGTACGTTCTCGATGGTTGATACAGTGGTAATGTATATGGCCAACAAAGCTGAATGAAGAAGACCAAAATTCTTGTAGGAAAATTCTTTCGACAGCTATTCATTCAATCATCAAATTTTTCATTCAATCACTCTATCAGGCAATGTGCAACAAGTTTTTTATTGCCTTCTGTCCATCTTCCACACCAAAAAAAGGTGAACAGAAAAGAGATTACCAAAAAAGCTGCCTACAGAACAAATTTCTGGAAAAAAACTAGTACTACTCCTCACGTAGAAGCTTTACAGAACACACAAATTTCCAAAACTAAAACACCTGAAAAATCCTACAGCTCTGCCAAGTCCAGAAAAGGCACTAATCCCTCTAAAAATTCATCATCATCATCATCGCTACTGAGAGGAGGTAACTTTGAGCAGAGACTGCGCATGAATCCGCGACAGATTAGCTTGGCAAAAGCTTTGCCAGGCCTCCTGTTTCTCCTCCTCATTCTCTGTGAATGCCTTGAACATTCCCATCACAATGCTCCGAGCAGCTTCCCATCACACGTATATATATACATATATATTTTGAGAGATTGAGAGATTAAATGTGCTTTTAAATTAGAAATACTAAATCATTATATAACAAAAATAGATATTTAAATTTGATGAAATTTTTCACTATAGACTAAATTGTTACAAAATTAAAACTATAGAGATTGAATTAAAACTATATGCACTCTCCAGTGTATGGCATGTTCTCTATCAGCCCATTCACTATGGATCTATGAACCTCGACCTGTATAAGCCATTTCCAAAAACATGAATATCAAGACATTTTCCGAAAATAGATGGTGATTTTACAATCAATTGCTGAGCCAACATCTAAACTGTTTAATGACAACATGAAAGCTATATAAAATAATACACGTCGACTCTCGACTTGGGGTAAGGAGAAAGATAACATAATGAACCATTGCACTTAAAACACATTACCAAATTATTTGTAGTTTATGCATTTGGTAAAAGAACAACAGTGTTAGGATACCTGAGATGTAATAAATATTTTTTGCAAAGTGTCTGCCTCATGCTTGGATTCGCACATTTTAGACAACTTGGAAGCCAAGCCATCTCCTGAGGTATGCAGGTGGACTTTGGCCTCTAAGCTTGAACCGATCAACTTTTGGATTCGAGCAACCTCCAGGACTTTCCTTTGGTTCTCAGCTGATCGAAAGTGCTTAAAGATTAGCATCATTCTAAATTCGGGGTTCTATAGTTTAGTTCAGTTCATATTCATCAACATTTTCCAATATCTGCAAGTAACCCTTGATCATAAATTTATTATCAGAACTTCTGTAATTGTAAAGAAACTAAAATACCTCGAGAATATTGGCCCAGAAATCAACTTCTTCTCTGGGAAGAGAGCCTAGTCTTATTTAAGCTTGGCCACCTTGATTCGAAGACAAATTTGACAACAGAGGCGTCATCGTTTTCATGTTCGAAGGGTAGATTCTACCACACATCCTCAGCCGAATGAGGCAATATAGGAGCAATTATTCTCGTAATCGCAACGAGATGATCTGCGAGAACTGTTTGACAACTTCTCCTGGTAAAACTCGTGCTTCCCCTGAAATTGTTAACATAGTGAGCAACCATTTTGCTCAAGGAAAAATAATGTCCGACCATCAGAACTAAATAATATTAAAAGGAATTATTGTAATCAACTTTATGGATAGTACAAAGCAGTATTAAGATTTGATGGAGAACTACATAATCGGTTCCCATGAACAATGAACAGTCAAACATACAAAGACTTCACAAGGAAAGCAGCAACTGCTCGCTATGGTGACCAATTTCTAATAATATGCTGTTCGGTTTTCTAGGATGCGGGATAACTTACCCAACATATAATTGATCTTTAGCAACATCAAAGTAGAAATTTGATAGATCAACAATCACAAACCGTTGTATAATCTGCAAATGTGGAAAGACACATGGTCAAAGTTCCACCAAATATACAAAATACACATGATTCGTCCTTGGCTCTAGAAAGCAAAATAGATTTCAGAAAGGCCACAGAACTTTTACACCATTTATAACGATAATGAAGTAACGAGTCATAATTGACATTTTAGGTGGCCTTTCCCACATATAAGTCCTCACAGAATCATGTTGCCATTAATGACATTGATAAGCTGGAAGAAGCCTCAAATATAGATCAAGCCTTCAGGAACCAGAGGCTGAATCTTAAGCATCAGTTGGATGATATTTTACAGGGATATCCGTTAGAATCATAAGTATAAGCTCAAATAAGGGGATCAAAATTTAAATTATTCCACAAAGTTGCAGCTGCTAGAAGAAGGTAGAGTAGAGCTTTATGAATAGATTGGTTTCTAACGAATAAAATGTGAATGTCGATATAATGCGACAGCACTGTTCGTTTCAAAGTATGGGAAACATAAGTAATGACTAAAATTACTTACTGCTGATAATATTTAAACTTCAATGAATAAAGTAATAAGGCCGTCAAAGAAAAGTCACCTGAAAGATCTAAAAGAACTGATAGTTTTCGTAGCTTTCTCTGATGTTGTTAATGATATTTTCAAGCTGAAACAATGCATGCTGGTCAACCTTTGGAAGATCCTGATATTGTACATAATTATCCTCCTGTCGTTAGAAACATAATTATTGTTATATATACACACCAATAGAGAGGAGAAGAAATAGCCGCTAATCTAAATGCTGCTTTAAGCTAAGAAAAATATAAATGATGCGGATGAACGTACTGTCCAATCATGCAGATTTCCCAGAAGGAATCTTAATGTTCCTCGCAGTTTCCTATGTATCTCTGACATTTGACAGAGAACTTGAGAACCGATCATCACAGCACCTGTATAATCCACATTGGAAACCCAGAGGCGCAGGACATCTGCTCCATAGCCAGGGGTTTCCTGCCAGAGACAAACAATAACAAGGCATCCAAGGGATTTAGTCTAGCCACTTTTTAAGTAGTTTAATGAGGAACCAGATATGATTGTACAAGATTTTGAACCTTTTGATTCTTTCCTCCTTCAATCACAGTCTTAGGGTCAACTACATTACCCAAAGATTTGCTCATTTTCAAACCTTTCTCATCCAAAACAAATCCATGTGTAATGACACTGGAATATGGAGCCTTACCTGTTCCAAAAAGTATGAATTATATAGAATAAAATCCAACAAAGATTGTTTCTACGATACACAAATGTCAAAAAAAAATTATTTCCATTATATAACAGCGATTGACCTGCCAACTGTGAAATTTTGCAAAAAACTACAACATATCATAGATGATATTCTCCTAGTGGGTTGGTCACAACAAATATTATCAACAAAATCAACTATGTTAGTTAAGTTACATCGATGATGAATTTCATGAATAGCCTAGATTTGTCTATCTTCCACACCAAAAAAAGGTGAACAGAAAAGAGATTACCAAAAAAGCTGCCTACAGAACAAATTTCTGGAAAAAACTAGTACAACTCCTCATGTAAAAGTAGAAGCTTTACAGAACACATAAATTTCCAAAACTAAAACACCTGATGGTGTGGTTTAAAGGAATCAAATCTTTATTGAGAATGAAGTTATCCCAAAAGGTTTACAAGGCTCCTATTTATAGAGGAAAGCCATGGGTAAAAGGAAATAACCTACAGTAAAGAGCTAACTACCAAAACAACTTAAACTAAACTAACTTAAGTAGAGTTAGTTACATCAATTTCCCTCCTCTAAAAAGGACTCGTCCTCGTGTCAGGAAGCTAAACTGCCAAGTCCAGCAAAAGCACTATTCCCTCTAAAAATTCATACCCATCATCATCACCACTAGTGAGAGGAGGTAACTTTGAGCAGAGACTGCGCATGAATCGGCGACAGATTAGCTCGGCAAAAGCTGTGCCAGGCCTCCTGTTTCTCGTCCTCGTTCTTTGTGTATGCCTTGAACATTCCCATCACAATGCTCCGAGCAGCTTCCCTTGCCTCAGGAGCCTATCGTTTAACAAATCTGCACCCATTTGGAGCAATGGAACAATCCCATATTGGTTCATTTCTGCCAGACCCTGAAGAATTTGGCAGCAACCCATGTTAAAATATATCAGTTTAGTCCAGTTTTTGAACAAAATTGACTGAGTATTGAGAGGGGAAAATGTGATTTGTTATCGATTTTTTTTTAGGCTGTAAGGTGAAGATTTTTCTTTAGTTCATGCTCAGGTTGGTAATGTAAGGTGAAGAATGAACAATTAACAAAACTGAATTTGAGACCAGTGGCAACTATTAGAAAAAGTAAAACAGAGAAACCAAAAGAATTGCTTTTATTTAATTGAAACCAAAAAAGAAAATGACCAATGGAACCAAAAAAAAAAATTTAAATAAATAAATAACTGATTGAATTGAACCAATTTAGTTAATTTAATAACAAATATTTTCAGTTAGAGTCATTGCTTAAAAGATGAATTATCAAGGAAATTGTAGCTAAGTTCTCATTCAACTCAGTTTGACACAGGATAGCTTCAAGTCAAGATCATGAGTCTGGAGATAGTTTCACCATTGGCTAGATGTCGAGACCCGACCAACCACTTTCAAGACTGAAGTGAAACCTCACACGACTGAGATATGTCATCATCTACTTCTTGGCTAGACGTCTAGTTGCTCATAAATATGATGTCCTATAACCAGGATCTTGCAGCATGCTGAGCTTTTGCAGTTTCTCTTAATACAGCACCGACGATCCCAGCTTGCTCGAGGCATTCAGCCTTGTGCAGCGAATCTAATAGGACAACACAAGTTTTCGTGTGGATACTACAACCTTTTGATCGAGTTTCCTCGAAAAGTCTATAAGCATCCATTGCCCTGTTTGCATTACTCAACCCTTCTATTATAGCATTGTAAGTAGCAGAATCAGGCACGCCACCCTTTGCCTTAAACTTCTCGAAAAGAGCATTCGCCTCCACGATGTTTCCAACCTTCGCAAGTCCTGAGATCATGGTGGTGTAGGTGAATACGTTCGGCTTTAAGCCATGCTTATGCATCTCCTGCCAGAACACGAACGCCTTGTTGAACTTTCTAATCTTACAAAGACCATGAATTAGAATGCTATAAGTTATATAATTTGGAGTACATTTCAAGTCCTTCATCGACTGAAAGCAAACGAGGGCTTCGCTAATTTCCTCGGCTTTCACCAACGCATCAAGCAAGCAATTCCATGTATATACATTAGGTGTCAAACCTTTCTGCATCAACTCTTCCATGATCAGATACGCCTCATCGATTCTACCGACCTTCCCGAATCCATCAATAAGACTGCTATATATAACAACATTTAATTCTACTCCTTTCGACTTTGCTTCTTCAAAGAGCATATATGCTTCATCAAGCCGGTCGATCTTTGCTAGCCCATCAATAACAGAACCGTAAGTAACAACAGTGGGTTCGTGACCCTTTGTCTTCATCTCCTCTAGCAGTTGGTAAGCTTTATTTACCTTGCCAGACTTGCAGAATCCATCGATAACAGTGTTATATGCACGWGTATCCAGRACACAACCTTGCTCCTTCATTGTGTAGAACAACTCATAAGATTCATGCGCAAAACCCGCTTTCACCAGGCCATGAATTAGGATCRAATAGCTCCTCGCATCAGGAATAAATCCTTGGGCCTTGATCTCCTGAAACAAAGCCCTGCCCTTCTCAGTTTCTCCGGCTTTAAAAACACAATCCATATAGGTATTAAGAAGCATAAGATCGGGCGAACAACGGAGATGTATCATTTCGTTATATATCTTGTGGCCATCCTCCTTCCTTCCACACTTGAAGAAGTTCCTTATGAGAGATGTATACAAAACAGCATTTGGGATCTGGTCAGAATCCAACATCTTTTCATAAAGCTGGTAGGCTTCATCTACTCTACCATGCTTCCCCAACCCATCTATAAGAGAACAATATGTTACTGCATCAGGTGTGCAAGTTTTATGATCCAATCCTCAAAAATTTTATAAGCATCATCGAGTCTTTGAGCTTTACACAGCCTGTCAACCATTATGTTTACTGTCATAACATTAGGGAACAACCCGGCATCTTTCATAGCGTCCCGAACAACCAATGCCGTCTCGAGTTTTCCAGCCTTACAGAGCATATCAATCACAATATTATATGTCGAGAGATTCGGAATGGCATCTTTATTCATCTCTTCGAAAATTTTTAACGCCTCATCTAGCCGTCCCTTCCTCCCAAGACAAGTAAGAATACAATTATATGCAACAACACTTGGAATGCATCCTTTTCTTCTCTGCCTCTCAAGTAGACTGTATGCTTCATCAAACTTTCCAGCCATACCATAGCCCATGATCATTGTATTGTATGCATATGCACAAGGCACGTGCTTGTTTCGATCCATATGTTCAAATAACTCGACAGCTTCGTCCAGCCTGCTAGCTTTGCAAAGAACTCCTATCATGCTTGTATAAGTTACATCATCAAGCACCAAGCCATTAGCTTTAATTTCATGAAAAAATTTCCATGCCATATCCACCTTCCCAGCCTTCCCAAAGCAGTCTATACAGACATTATAAAGAACAACATCCGCTTCAATAGAGTTGCTCTTCATTTCATCCAAAAGAGAAAGTGCAGCATTGACCCGACCCTCTATAGCAAATACACGAATGAGAGTTGTGAATAAATGAACATTAACTTCATAGCCAAGCTCCTGCATTTGATGAAATAGAGTGAGCATACTGTCGGAATCATGAGATGCGGATAGTGCACCAATCAGAGTTGTATATGCAGAAAAAGCCGGGCGGAATTTGAACTTTCTCATAGTTTGTATAAATGTAAAAGCTTCTCTGAGCTTCTGTGACTTGACAAGGGTTAGGACTATCTCAATACAAGTGTTATTTGATGGGCCAAAACCTGCAAYACTCATTTCTTCCACTATYTGTTCCAAGCAATTAAASTTTCTAYTTCTAGCCATAACCATRAGAAGTGAATTATATGCTTCGGGGCAATGTGCTTGATCTGTTACTCTCTCCGTCCATCGAAAGTAATTTACTGCAACATTTACGTCCTTCAGCCTCCTTAAGACTCCAATTACCAATTCTGGATTTGGTTTTATGTCAAGCTYTGCTAGAGCATTCTCAAGAGAAGATCCCCAAGGACCAGTCTCCAAAATTTGGCACACGCCATCTACTAGCTGTCTCTTGTCTTCATTCTTTGCTGGAGACACCATATTACCGCTATCCAAAACAGGTCCTCCATTTCCATTTGTTTGAAAAAATTTAAGATGGTAACTGTACTTCAAATCAAGACAATAGATTTGTCTTGCACCTGAAATAAACATAATCTGTAATCAATGATATGAATGAAATAAAGTCGTTTCATTCAAAGGAATGGATTATAAAGAATAACTGACTAGGAAATTCAAACCAATTAACCGTCAATCTAAAAACAGGAACCTGACAAAGAACCTGAAACTTTACAAGTATATATGCAACGATTGAAATCATAAAAGAGACGAAGTACGACAAATATGTTAGTAGTATGTCTCCAACTGCTAAGGATAAAAACAAGCAAGTGTTTCTTCTTGTAAAAAAAAAAACTAGAATCTCATGTTACACGAACCTATTGACCTCGAGACTTACAGTTTCTCCTTTTTACCTATAGGCTAATCCATGAAAGTTAACAAAATATGGTTTAATTTACAGTTTCTCCTTTTTACCTATAGGCAAGGAGCATAATTTTCCGATCAGTCAATCAACAGTCAACTACCGAAATGGTTATCTAACAAGTCACAAGTAATAAGACACCAGTTATCCCTTCTCTTGTTATAAAAAGCACTTCTTAAATAGAGGTCAATACGATTCCCGAACTTTCAGATGCAGTGAACAAAAACCCCTTTGGCCAAAGCCTATCCGATACTGCTAGATGTAACTTGTAAGTACACGATTGGGTGAGGGAACAGAGTATGGTTCTCAAATAGTTTTTTACCGCGAAAGCTTTCAATTAGTTCTTTGAAATTTTATTCAAACAAAATCTAAAGATACCAATTTACCTCTGTTCCTTAGAAGCATCTTCATGTATGCATGTCAAACGATGTCTCTATGTAAGCTATCCACCTGAGATTACATAGCAGGATAAGAAGCCCATTACAAGATAATGGATGAATATTACGAACACAGATGAAACAAGAATACGATGACCATTTAATCAGAAGCAACTGCAAATTGTGATCGCATTAAACATAGGAATATAGAATGGCTCGGGTACTGATGACAATAATTTCATCAAAATAATTAAGAACCTCGTTAAGCACTCGATTCCAATCTTTCATTCATACAATATACTTCCATAACACGTGAACCCAGAACTGAATATGGAAATAAGATACAAAATTCAACATGCCCATTAGAAAAAACATCGAAGGGGAAATGGTTAAGAGCCTAAGAGAGTTGATTTTCACATGTTCCGAAATTTCAGACGTCGAATGGGATACTGAAAGTGAATGTTACCTAAAAGACCCTCTTCCGCCAGACGGAAACGAGAAAAGAAAACAGAGGCATAGAAATAAGGAGAGAATCGTTCATGAATTCTCGAAGAGTATACTGCTTCGTATTCAAATTGATTGCATCAGACAGAGAAATGAAAGAGAGGAAGAAGAGAAATAGTACTCTATAAGGAGACGAGCAAATCAACGATTTTGTGGCTTCTTTGCACTTGAATGCAGAAGAGCTTGGGGCAAACGAAGCCTACTGCGGCATGGTGGCCTCCATTTATTTGCAGAGCTTCGTTGGAGCGACAGGAATCTGAAGGAAGAATGGCATAGATAACCTACGAAAGTTTTAGTTTGCTTTAACCTCAATTATAAAAATTGAGACTTAATTTATTATTTAGAATACAATATTGAATTGATAAATTACTGTTTTAACCTCAATATGGAAAGTAAGTGAGAAGTCGCAAACCAATCCTAAATCACGGGTGTGATCGAATTAACACGGTCGTGCTGTTCATGAAAAACATCTAATGGACTAGGTTTGACCATGGTTATTGTTTGCTTTACCATTGCTGTGAAAATTAAGACAACGGTCGTGAATTAAATGACCATTATACCCCTCCATTCAAATTCTAACTATTGGTATCCTCCCATTCCAACTTCCTTTTTTTCTTCCATTTTCGTTTTCGTTTTTGTTTTCGCTCATCCGATTTACTCTGCCTCAATTTTCTCAATTTCACTATCTACTAGTTTCTTGCAATTTCATGCTTCGAATCGCTTCCTATATCTGAAACTTCGAGGTTAGTACATTTTATTTGGTATTTGTGTCCCTTTTATGGCAAGAAAATAAGTTTTTTTTTGTACTCATATTTGCGTTTTTTTTATTCGTCCTTTCATTCCTTCCATGGTCGCCTATTTAGTATTTTCGGTACTTCTAGGGCTCAAAATCGGCATTTTTTGTTTATGATTTAATGTATTTCCTTGCGGTTGTGGTTGAAATTTTGATTTAGGGCTTTAGAGTTTATGTTATGGGCAAATTAATGGGCTCGTAACGGCCGTGGTTCAACCAAAATTTTGAAAACGAAGAAGACCCTCCTTCAATTAGATGTACTTTACGTTCTGTCTAAATAATCAATATCCTCGTTCAATTTGTACGGGAATTGGATTCTACCATAATTTTCGGTCACTACCTAGGCATGGTAAGCCCGTGAATTTGGACAGAAAATGTGTTTCCTTCCTCTTCTTTTATTATTTTCATTTGTTCCTTTCTTTGTTTAGATTTTGGTTTGTTGAATAATAAGTTAATGTATATATCGTATTTGTATTTCAGGTTTATAAAATGGAGATGATACCTAATATATCGTATTTGTTATGAACATGCTACCACGACCATGAATCAAACAATAAAGGACCTTGGCCAAGGAACATGCTACCACAACCATTAATCAGACAATAAAGGACCACGGTCGTGGTTGTTTGATTCACAGCCGTGGTAACCTACAACCCCGGTCGCGAATCGAACAAAATGGACTATGACCATGAGACGATCAAGGATATCTGTATGCAACCACGGCCGAAACCACCTAAAACCACGGTTGTTAATCATATAACCATTGACCATGGCTGTTAAACGAAGAAACACGATCATGAATCATTGAATTACGAAACTTTTGACCCACAAAAATATACATAAAAGTTCAGAAATTCCATTCACTCAAACTACATACATCATATTCTGAACGAATCGAAAATAATATTATGAATCAATCAAAAACCAACCTCGTTCAAGATGTCAAAGATGAAAAATTGACTTCTTTTAAAGTATTCAAGATGTGAAAAATGTTGGAAAAGGTATGGAGGTTCTTGAAAAAATCGTGAAAGATGTGCATGAGGACAATAAGCAGTTAAACAATAAGCAGACCCACCCTTGGTTAGCTCAAAGTTTATTTTTAAACTCGCTTTTAGTAAAATGGCGATTTTAGTGTACGAAGTTAGAAAAGTAATTTTAAGGTAAAATATATTTTTCATCCACATAGTTTAGATTTGATTTTTACTTGGTCTCTTAGTCTAAAAAAAATATTACTTTTAGTTATTGATATTTAAATTTAATTTGTATTTGATTTTTAAGTTTCAAAAGTGATAGTTCACGAATTTTGAATTTAATTTTTAATTTGTTCATAGGATTTCAATCTGATTTCTAATTCGTTCTTAAGTTGAGTCGATTATTAATTGATCTAACGAAATGATAATGTAATAATTAACATATGGTAATTAGACATTACTACTTAGACAAAAGATAATGAATAATGATATAAGTTTAATTCATGGTGAACTTAATTCGAATTATAAATTATCTTTAAAAAAATTAGAAATTATGTTCAAACTTCAGGATGGATTATAAATTAAATTTCAAACTTAATATTTTCATTTCACTTTTCAAAACTTTGAATACCAAATAGAAACTAAATTTACCCTTCATTTTAGAACTCATAGGGATACCAAACTTTTACGATATGAAGTATTTTACAAAAACAATACAGATATCAATGTCAATGATACAAAAATGCTTATCATAAAATACAAAAAGTCAGTTGTTTAAAAAAAATGATACAAAAATAGTATGTAGACAACAAATGAGGAATTATAATTTCCGTCACCTGTAGTTTTTCGTTGTCGCAAAACCTGTTAAAGCGAACATAGCTTCGCAATAATTACCATATACCTCTAAGCATGAGGTTGTGAGTTTGATTCCCTTCCCTAACATGTTATAGTAAAAAAAATGACTGCAAAACTAACTCAGGAAAGTTATATTCTATACTTTATATGAGCTGTGATATATATATATTTTTTTCCAATGAGGTTAAAATATATAATTTATCTTTTATTTATTTAATTTTTTTTTTCTCAATCGAAGCTTTAATAATTTCAAATAAAATAAAAAGATTTTATTTTCACAAAACATTACAATCTATTAATAAAACGTGATCTAATTATCAAAATATATTTTATGAATAGAAGAAACATTTTTTGGAAAATATTGACCCTTATTTTTTTGTGATACCGAAATTATCATTCTCTTAAATTTATGTTTCTCTTTTATCCATCTCTCTTCTCTTTTAAGACTCTCCCATCTTTTCTCATTTATCTCTCCCTTATTTAATTGTAATTAAATTTTTAGGAAACAAAAAATAAATGCATCACAAATAGATTAAATGAATGAAACATTGGTAAAAGGTAAATATATTTTTTATGAAAATATAGGATAATCACCTTGATTTTGTTCTTAAATATTGTTATTTTTAAGTTCGGACTATTTTGTAGTTAATTTTAATATCATTATTTTTTTTAAATATTGAAAATTTTTAAACGTTGTATGTATAGGATAATGACCTTGATTTTGTTCTTAAATATTGCTATTTTTTAAGTTCGGACTATTTTGTAGTTAATTTTAATATCATTATTTTTTATTTTAAATATTGAATTTTTTTTGGAACAAAATTTAAATACGTCACAAAGTGGATTAAATGAATGAAACATGAAATGTTAAGAATATCAAAAGTTCTACCTTTATTTATATAAATTAATTTTAAAATTAAATATTTTTAAAAAAATTAAATTTAAATGATAGAATATAAAAAGTGTTGGAATCTCAAAGGTTTTTGTAACTTTTCTAACGGTAAAAATGGTTATCTTCCTCATTTTCACACTAATTTGTTCCATTTTTTTATACATATTTTTTTTCCTTTAGTTCATCGTGATTTGTAGATTTAGTGATAGGACACTAAACATTTTCAATATTCTTTTTTATGTTTGTTAGTTTGATCTCAAGCATCAGTAAGGAGTAAATATATTTTATGAAAATATAGGATAATCACCTAGATTTTGTTCTTCAATATTGCTATTCTTACATTCGGACTATTTTGTAGTTAATTTTAATATCATTATTTTTTATTTTAAATATTTTTACATATTTAAAATTTTTTAGGGTGTCTATTTTATTTAAATAAGACATGATTAATCTTTGATTTTCTCATATACATGAAGAAAAAATAATCATCCTATCATTTTATTTTTTGATATACTTTCAATGAACATTAAATGATATTTTTTACGAATGCAATGTAAGAAAATAATTTTACTAAAACAAATATACCATTATCTAAAGTTATTTTATTTAAAATAAAAAAGTTAAAAGTAACATGTATCCTCGTAATTAAAACTTTGTTTGAAAGTAAATTTTATTGTTAGACACACAATAACAACATTTTTTAGGCTAATCAAAGCATAGTTGATCAACACTTAATGCACGTTTATCCAACCATGAGGTTGTTGTAAATATATATAAATTAATTTATTCAATCAAAATAGTGAGCTATTTATTTTAATAAGTGTTACTAAATTTAAAAAATAATAAATAATTATCAAAATACATAGAAAAATCACTTACTATTAATATATAATTTATTTTGTTATGAATAAGAATGATGATAGTATTTGATAGATCCATAACTTTTTATAACTAAAATTAATGTTCATATACAATGCGATTAAATTACTAGTTAAGTTAAAAGTACCATATTTTAATTTGAGAAAATAGCAAGTTGGTTACTCACAAATTTCAATAACAGATTTATTTTTAAGCTGGTTCGGACAATTACGGTATAAAAAAAAATCATAGATATGTCACGGGTATTAAAAAAAACAAAAAATATATCTATTTCATATGACTTAACCGAGTAAATCGTAAATTTGAATCCGACTGTCGTGAAAAGAAAAAAAAAAGTAAAAGGTTGGAGATGTGCATTTGGAGACTAGGATAGCTTGTAAATCGTGTCAATGGTCATTTACCAAGCTCAAGTTGGCAATTCACATGTTGGGTTCAAGTATGTTCTCGATGGTTATTACAGTGGTAGGTAATGTATGTAGGTGTCGGAGATGATTCTTTAAGTTCTTGAAGAAAATTTCTTTGACAGCCAATTCAATCATCAAATTTCTCATTCAATCACGCTCTATCAGGTAATGAGCAACAAAATTTTTTATTGCCTTCTATCAATCTTCCACACCAAAAAAAGGTGAACAGAAAAGAGATTACCAGAAAAGCTGCCTACAGAACAACTCCTCATGTAAAAGTAGAAGCTTTTACAGAACACACAAATTTCCAAAACTAAAACACCTGAATCCTACAGCTATGCCAAGTCCAGCAGCAGCACTATTACCTCTAAATTCATACTCATCAACACCACTACTGAGAGGAGGTGGTAACTTTGAGCAGAGACTGAGCATGAATCGGCGACAGATTAGCTTGGCAAAAGCTTTGCCATGCCTCCTGTTTCTCCTCCTCATTCTCTGTGAATGCCTTGAACATTCCCATCACAATGCTCCGAGCGGCTTCCCTTGCCTCCGGTAGCCTATCGTTTAACAAATCTGCAGCCATCTGGAGCAATGGAACAATCCCATATTGGTTCATTTCTGCCAGACCCTGAAGAATTTGGCAGCAACCCATGTTAAAATATATCAGTCCAGTCCAGTTTTTGAACAAAATTGAGAATTCTTGAGAGGGGAAAATATGATTTGTTATGAATTTGTACCATCTTGGAGACACAATTGGAGATTGGAATGGCGGCTTTGGCTCTGACTCTAAGGTTGGAATGGGAAACATATGGCCGAAGCTTGTGCAGCAGAGACAGAGGAGTCATGGACCGAACCAGGGTGTTCAATGCCTTGTCTGCTTCTTCACACACAAACTTTTTGTCTTGAGAAGCTTTGAGTAATATTTGGAGCAGCTGAGGATCCAGAATCACATATAAAACAGTCTCTATCAGCGATTCTTACAATAAAAAAACTTGACTAACAATTGCCCTAATTTTCTATTGTTTTCCCCAGTGCTTAATTGATTGTTTTGGAACCGATTTCATGGAACTTCCTACCAATAATAATGATTGCAAAAGAAAATAACTGAAGGAATTCAATTGTATGCTCTCACCAATTGATCATACGCATCGCTTGTGGATGTGTCGAGTAATTGATCGCCAAATGCTTTGAAGATGTCGGATGAGGCCATGATCGAGGTCTTGATTAGGGCACTTCTAGGGTTTTTCATCGACTTCACCAGCACCGCCATAACTTTCTCTCTGAAATGAAACATGACAAAATTCATCGACGGAATTCCACAAACCCCAACCTCCGGCGGAGAAAAACAGAAAATATTCCACTTACAACGAGGGGATCAGAAGATCGGAGTGAAATAGCGCGAGACGCCTAGCATTATTGAGTGCCTCGCAGACCTTAACCCAATCCTTCGAATCTAATCCTTCAACAAAATTCTAACAAAACAAAGAAAGAAAAAAGGAAAATCAGATCTGAAGCAAGAAAGAAACAGCGAATAGAAGGGGAATCGAGCAGTACATTAGAATCAGGGTTTGTCAAGGGCTTCAGATCCTCAGAAGAAACGTAATCAACGGCGGCGTCGGCAGAAGGAGGAACCGGAGCCTTGTTCTCATCGTTTACGCCGGAATCATTCCGCTTCTGGACTGGAACGACAACTTTCGCTTGCTTCTTCGGCCTTTCTGGCGTAATCGGTAGAGCATTATCTATGGGTCTTAAAGCCATAGCCATGGCGAGAGCGAGAAGACTTGCAGAGAAGGGAAACGAAGAGGGTCGGCTTGAAATTGAAGGAGAGACGCTGATCTTAAGGGTTTACAAAAATGGAATTTTGTACGCTCGCTAATCGCTGGCCTTTAAGGTTTCAGAAATTTGAATTTTGAATGCGACCGATGGAAAGAGACGTTGAATATGTTCTTTCTATAACGGCTCGCTTGAATTTTGATTAGGTATTTAAAAACCTGCACGTCCGCTTCCAGGCGTGACGCCGTCGTTTTAGCTTTAACAGTCCACGCCACGTCATTTTGGCTCATTTAAGGAAAAAAAAATAAAAATCGAAAACGATTATTATTATTATTACTTTTTTTTAGGCTTTCAATTCAATAGCTGTATTCCAGTTCGTGTTCAGGTTGGTAATGTAAGGTGAAGAATGAACAATCAGCAAAATTGAATTTGAGGCAAGTGGCAACTATTAAGAAAAATAAATAAAACAAAAAAACCAAAATAATTGCTTTTATTTAATTGGGGAAAAAAATACCAAAGGAACAAAAATAACTGATTGGTTAATTTAATAATGCTAAAAAAAAAGTTAATTTAATAACAAATATGTTCGGTTAGATTAATTACTTATAAAATCATACAATTATTGGTTGTTTCAATTTGAATTTATTTTAGTTCATGCTCAAGGTTGGTAATGTAAGGTGAATAATGAACAATCAACAACAAAATTGAATTTGAGGCAAATGGCAACTATTAAAAAAATGTAAAACAAAAAAAAACCAAAAGAATTGACAAAAAAAAGACAATTGGAACAAAAAAAAAAACTGATTGGTTAATTTAATAATTCTTAATTGGTTAATTTAATAACAAATATTTTTCAGTTAGATTAATTACTTACAAATTCATAAAATTATTGGTTGTTTCAATTTGATTTTATTATATCCATTCAATTTTGATTAGTTGTGTTAGTTTTTAAAAGAAATATGTTAGGTCTCGCTTTCATTTCTCTCATTTCTCTAAATCAATCAATGGGTGGATCTTGATTTTGACACACAATGATTGAATTTGAACTGGTTAAAACTTGATAGACTAAATAAAATTTTATTGAGGCTCAAATTATAAAACTTTCCTTCACTAGTACATGCAATTTATTTTATATATATAATCAGAACAAGGGTGAATTGAAGGATTGGTTGATAACGTTATTGTATAGAAGTTTCTTGTCCTTTCTTGAAAATATGTTTGATAATTTTTTTCAGATTAAAAACAGTAAATGCTTTATGTGAAATTTAATTCTTCAAATTAAATATTAAAAGTTTTTATGTTATATTTAATTTTTTTATTTTATTACATATTTAAAAAAATAATGCATTTATCTATGTTTTAAAAATGAGAAACAAAAAACAATTACCAAATACTTATATTTTTCAAAAATTGAAAACGAAAAACAAGAAACGTAAACATCACAAAACGGACTCTAAGTTTTCATATCCATCCATTGATAAAAAAAATCAAAACATTATAAAATGAGACAAGGATATTAGCAAAATTTGAACATCTCATTCAATGGTTTATGTAACAAGTGAAAATGAGTCTGAATTACAGAAGCAAGATGATAGTGTTAATAAGATGGTAATGATTATTAGAATACATCCTAGAAGGGGAAAAAATCACAGCCACCATTAACTGTTTCTGAAAAAGTAAATAATAATAAGGATGAATTATCAAGGAAATTATAGCCAAGTTACCATTCAACTCAGTTTGACACAGGATAGCTTTAAGTCGAGATCATGAGTCTGGAGATAGTTTCACCATTGGTTGGATGGCGAGACCCGACCAATCGTTTTCGAGGCTGAAGTGAAACCACACACGACTGAGAGATATGTCATCATGGCACACCATGAAAGCCATGAACGAAGACTTGCAACTTGACATAAACCAAGGGATTACGTAAGAACATGCATCGCATAATCAAAACGAAGTATCGATCTTGCTGCTGCTCCACCTTGGTTTCGTATAGAAATCTGTCTGTCTTGGGCAATTTGGACAGGCTTAAAAAGGGTCACAAGTATGCATGACTGGACAAATTCGAAGCAATTTCGGAAACAACCTGCAAAAGGTAAGGGCTGAAATTGTTATAGATTTTCAGCTTCGAAGAGTTGGCGGTTTTCGTTCTCCTCAGTAAGGAAGTTATGTTACCTGTATCTGCATGACTTCACTCTGTATAAAACTTCAACAACATTACTCGACGCGATCCATCTCATATGTCAGTCTCATCAGTAGCATGAGGTAAAATCATGGGCGCATCACTGCTTTAGATTAGAAAAAACTCCCCCTAGTTGCTCATAAATATGTACTATAACCAGGATCTTGCAGCATGCTGAGCCTTTGCAGTTTCTCTTAATACAGAACTGACGATCCCAGCTTGCTCGAGGCATTCAGCCTTGTGCAGCGAATCTAATAGGACAACACAAGTTTTTGTGTGGATACTACAACCTTTTGATCGAGTTTCCTCGAAAAGTCTATAAGCATCCATTGCCCTGTTTGCATTACTCAACCCTTCTATTATGGCATTGTAAGTAGCAGAATCAGGCACCCCAGCCTTTGCCTTAAACTTCTCGTGTTCGTCTCCATGATGTTTCCAGCCTTCGCAAGTCCTGAGATCATGGTGGTGTAGGTGAATACGTTTGGCTTTAAGCCATGCTTCTGCATCTCTTGCCAGAACACGAATGCCTTGTTGAACTTCCTAATCTTACAAAGACCGTGAATTAGAATGCTATAAGTTATATAATTTGGAGTATATTTCAAGTCCTTCATCGACTGAAAGCAAACGGAGGGCTTCACTAATTTCCTCAGCTTTCACCCCAACGCATCAAGCAAGCAATTCCATGTATATATAATCTTATGAGTTGTTCAAACCTTTCTGCATCAACTCTTCCATGATCAGATACGCCTCATTGATTCTACTGACCTTCCTGAATCCATCAATAAGACTGCTATATATAACAACATTTAATTCTACTCCTTTCGACTTTGCTTCTTCAAAGAGCATATATGCTTCATCAAGTCCGTCGATCTTTGCTAGCCCATCAATAACAGAACCGTAAGTAACAACAGTGGGTTCATGACACTTTGTCTTCATCTCCTCTAGCAGTTGGTAAGCTTTATTTACCTTGCCAGACTTGCAGAATCCATCGATAACAGTGTTATATGCACGAGTATCCAGGACACAACCTTGCTCCTTCATTGTGTAGAACAACTCATAAGATTCATGCGCAAAACCCGCTTTCACCAGGCCATGAATTAGGATC